AAAAATGAGGTACACTAGTGACTTATGCCACCAGAACTCAGTAACAGGATACCAGTCAGTGTTTCCAATCTGTTTCTAAGAATGACTTGGGAGTCTATAATAAGACTTGCTTGTTGTCCAGAGGGGTAACAGTTTGCTCCCCACTTATCAACATGCTAAAACATGACAAACTGAAGCCATGAGCCCTGCCATCCTTGCCACAAAAGTGGGTTGCATGCCCTCATAAGGTAGTTGAATCACCCCAACCTGACCTGACCTGCAGTGCCAGGTTTGGTTCTATTTGGTTTATTTATTATTTGCCATAGGCTTTTTCGAAGTGACCCAGAATAACACATTTCCTAATGCCTTTCAAGATGCTGGAAGCTCTTTCTCTCTTCCATGTCAAATAAAGCATGCTCCTTTTGGCACAAGAAGAAACAAAAGCCTGTTAACAAGGCTGCATCACTGCTCAGCAACTACAACCAACAAAAGGCAGCTATACAAGATTACACAGGCCAGAATGACGCCAGCTGCTTGGATAAAGCATAATATGCACCAGCCCCAAAATGGGTTCCAATGCTTGCACTAATAGCAGCATCTGAAAGATAATAGTTGAGGAGAATGTGTGCACAAAAGGAGGAGAGTGTTACAAAATGGAGTTCAAAGCTGGTGCTTTCTGTATCTGTTTGTTGGCACCTAGACAGAACCACTCAGAGTTCATATAGGAGTACAGTGCAAGACTAGCAAGGCACTGGGGTTGTACTGCAACAACCAGCTCAGCTGAAGATCAAATCCTCAGGCTGAACATCCTTTTTTAGAAAGCTGGAGGATTAATGCAATATAATGTCCATCTAATAGGATCAGATAAAACGTTTCTAAGGGAAAAAAATGATACAAGGGTGTGTGAGAGAAATTCCTGTTAGCTCCTTCCCACTGGGCTATGAATGCCCACTCTTCCTAACTACAGCTCCTGTTTAAAATTAAGATTTGGTCTTGGTAAAATTGAAAGTGCTTCCCTCCTGTTCCCTCCCAAAGCAAGACTTTGGTTGCTCCAAACAGAGCTTCAAGATTTAACAAATATAACAATCTTCAGTATAGGGAAGGGGAGGAACAGGAGAAGTAAGGCAGAGGAATGTAAAAACCATTCATGAAAGGCACTTTGGTTCAAAATGACTCAGAAGCCATTTCTAAAAGCATTGCAGCCGGGGTAACAGGAGCAGGCATTTTATGCTCCTGGTCCATGTAACCTTACAGATGTCTGGATGTGTGTCTCAAGCAGATATCTTTACAACCCCCTCTTCCTCCTCTTCTCCCCACTCCCTCCCCACCTACAAGATTCAAGACACAAAAGTCTGCTCAAAGGGGGAACCTCTCTCCTGCCTCCCTCCCTTGCAAGCAGTCATGCTAATTCCCAGGCACACAGAGGATGAAGCCTGCCCGATCCTTGGTGAAATTTGGCTCCGATTGGTTGATTTTGGTTTCCACGGAGATGGTGCATTTCCGACCATGCATGCTGCACTGGACTGGGTTGGTGACGCTCACTTGCAGGCGGCGTTTCTCACTGCAGGGCGAGACAGAAAAAAATTGCAGAGGGTTAATGGCAGGCAGTTGGGATGGGGAGAGGAAACTGGGTGGGCTCTGCTGAGCAAGTTGCACCACTGAGCAAAGGGTCATCTTGAACTTGAGAGATCACCTCTGCCCCTTCCCAGCAGCTTGGGAGGCAGCGATTAACAGGAGGGATTAGAAGGGATCAGGCAGATGATGAAAAAGAAGAAACAACCAGCCTTCAGCCAAAGTTCTGACAAGACCATTAAGTATTAGCCACTGGAGAAACTGGTACACACTGGCCTAAGCAATCTTTGGGAAAGTCAGAGGCAGACAGGTAACCTG